TTCATAGAATATTATTCAAAAATAATTATCCATCTCTCTCAAATAAACTTTTTTATCACTGAAATCAAACGTTACAAACGTAAATTTCACGGCTAATCGTAATCTATTAGATAATATTTAACAGCGATTAGATTTATCATAAGATGTGATATTATATATCTACAGAATGTGATATATATTCCGTGAAATCTCTTAAATGAAAATTGAAATCAAAATTAATAATTAATCGCGCGACTAATTATCAACATTCTGAATAATATCACAAGTTATTAGCTTTAATCGGAGCTATAAAAATTAAATAATTTTAATTTCACTATTACCAAGCATTCGATTCGTGACATAAAATTTGCACAGTTATAAAACGACGTTGTAAAAATGTTTCACGGTTCTATGTTTCTATTTTATCGCTTGTATGATTAAACAGTTCACAGGAATGACAACAGTTCAGGTACGTGCTAACGGATTTTTACGTTACGTAGCAATGACATTTTTACATTTAAACAGTTGAATATTTAATAACATACAATTAATAAGTCGATCAATTTTTCCCGAAAATACGCGTGCCACAATTATCGCAGTAATTTAAATAACATTCAGTCAGTAAAGTGATCGTATTTTGGTAAATTTATCAATGGCAAAATGCTGAATCTCACAGTAGTGGAAGTAAAATAACACCTACCTTACACGTGGATATAATCCTGATAAACGACGCCAATTCCCGAAAAACCTGCCGTGTTCAACTAACGTACACCACCGACTTGGTACAATAAATAATGTAGATCTTGACAGACGACTTATAATAATAAGAATGAGGAGACAGCGGAATGTGTAATGATATTTAACTAGAAAAATGGCCCTAGCTTTTAGTAATTTTTCTTAAAGGAGCGACGTGCGGTTTTTCTATCGATATAACCAGTACAAACACCACGAGCACGTCGCAGAAAACTGGCTAGCATCTAGTCCGCGAGCATCTCGTTATTATTGAATTGGACAGACCCTATGGTCTGACATCAGACCATGTGGCGTCGACCAATAGGAATTCACGTTTCCGGTACGCACGCGCATGAGAATGGATCGGCGTTCTATCTTCCGTTGTGAATATTCCGCTTTTTCTCTGAATTATATTTATTCTTTTGACTGTCACTCTCTTTGAAATTCGATTGACTCGAGTACATGCAACTGTCACATGTCAGCTTGTCACGTTTTTTATTTTATATAATTTTGAAATTATCGATGTCGATAACTAACATGGAATTGTTTGCCACTACAACACGACGCGAGGAATCGATATTTTAGTGCAGCAATGTAAACGGCGGATTTTTAGAATATTTGTAAACAGGTCCGTTTATTTGTAATTATCTGTAATCATTATGTTTCGAATTAGTGCGGAAACGTTTCACGACAATACAGGTCATGAGGAATTTCGGAAGATTTCTTGCGTGTTCTATTCGAAATGTTTAACCTGTCTGTAAAAGTGGAGGCGCTAAGAAAACGTTTAAGCCTTTTGTTACCTCTGTCCCAAGTTTTGTTTTTATAATAATACGAATTATTTATGATGAAACTAGAACTACTGCGATAAAATTATTAATCTCACGTAATATAATATTGATGTAACTAATAAAAATTGCTGACTGATTCATTTTATTGGATGTTAAAAATTTCAAAATTATTACAGACAATAAAATTGACATTGACAGAGGAAACGTTATAAATTACAATGTTAATACGCTGTGACTTATGATAAATATGTTGAAAATTGGTTATTTTCTAAAATGAAAGAAATATTAAATCTATACGTAAAATCTAACGCATTTAATAATTAGCGTTTAACTTTTTACTGATGTTTCAAAAGAACCATGAAATCTTGCGTGATATGTCTTATTTTCATATGATCCAAAATAAAATTAGTCAATTTAATATATTTTGATAAAGAAAAAAAATGTATATCCTCTCCTTGCCCCTTACTGATAACACTTTGGTGAGGTCTTTGCCATTGCCTTCAGTATGTCTGTTCGCCACGTGTTATATCACGTGAACCGAAGAAAGAAACATACAAGATATATAGCTTTAGACTTAACGAGACTTTTGTACAACGATCCAAAGCAAACGGAGTCACCCTAGTTATCTTTGTTACAAAAGGATGTTCATGAATAAAAACATGCCACATTGCAATTCTGTCGCTCTTGTCGAGACTTACGTTACTAAAGATGATTATGTGACGATAATACTCGTAATAGTTTTTTTTTTTTTTTTTTTTTTTTGACAAAGCTATAGAACGTAATTAACATGCAGCCATGAAATGATTATGAAAATCAAATCTCAAATCTCTTATCACTTTAACGCACGAATTATTCTCGTTTCTCGTGAAAAAAAAATTAATTCTTATATTAATTTAAAAGTGTCGAATTATTGCGAAAATCTTTAATTGCGAAATGTTATCAAATGTTATGTATAATCAGTAAAAAAAAAAAAAAAAACGATTGCGATATAATATATACTATATACATAGAATTCTACATGTTTCTTTTTTTATGTTTGTCGCGTTATTTTGATAAAAGAATGTAAAGCTATAATAAGCATTTTTGTATGGTCATTTTTGTTTGACTCTCGCATCGTGTAGCTGGCAAACTCATTTTTTACTTAAACTAATAGTTGAAACCGGTTTCCAACGTAGACAGTGGTTACGTTGCGTTTACTTTTACTTGCGTAAATTGATTTTGCATGCATTTTTGCAACAACTTAGTAACCAGTGACCAAAAACGAAAATAAATAAAATGTACTGTCATACAATTATTAACTTGTCTAAGTTTATATATATTGGTAGAAATTGATATCGAATAAAATATCAATAGAAAAAAACAATTTTGATGATTAGTAATGAATTATGGAATATTTCTTTTGTAAAATTAATTTTTCCTTAGCTTAACTTGAGTCAAAAAGCAATAATTATTTTACATAATTATTTCATATAATTTTTTATCACTTATAAGTCTTATTAATTAAAAAATTTATTTATGAAGATCTTTTTCCTTTCTTTTTCTGCTTCTCATTTGCTTCTTCCAATTTTTGAAGCTCAAGTTCAAAAACTCGTTGTTTTTTACGGCTTATAGGTGTCTTTAAAAGCCATGCTGCAATTAACTATGCTTAATATATATATACATATTTATAAATTACAAATATATACATATTTGTACGCTTTACGCATACCTAAGAACATATTTTCTTCTTCGCAAAAAACTGGATCTTTGGAACTTAACGCGTTTATTAATTCTCCATGTGTTAACGGATGAGTTCTTAATTGTACTATTCGCTTTGTAGTCATTACCTATTATATAACCATATATAAAATTGTAAAATTGTTATTAGAACAAATTTATACATAACACAATTGTATTTTAATGTGATACAGAATAATATTTCTTTTCTTACCTCGTTAATAGACGCTAATACAGTACCAACAGTAAAACCATCACAAATTTTAGCCATAACAGATGTATCGAATTGTCTATTAATTCCGGGATGCTATGAATATAATATTCATATATTATATTTGAATGTATTTATAAATATATTTCATTCTATTAAAAAAAATTTAACGCATATTGTAATTTATAAATAAATAAAAAGAAATTAATACTTTATATAATAAATCTTTCCATATAAGAGACATAGATCCATAATCTGGTCTTGGAATATATATAACTTTATCATATGTTTGATATAAGAGTTTCTGATCTCCATCCCATGGTGAATTTGAAGTTCCTATAAGGATAACTCTATCTTCATTTGTAATACTTTTTACTAATTTGGGGAGATCTTTTTTTAACCGTTTTGGATCAGTTTTATCTGTCTTTGACACCTTTTTTACAAATGGTTTCTCTGCTTCTTCCATGAATATCACTGATGGTTGGAGCAAACGTGATAGCTTCATGTAAAGAGAATTTAAAATAAATATTTGTTTTTTAATTCATTTAATCATTTCTACTTTTCTTTTTTAACATACCTTTGATATTAAATGTATAAGCATAATTAATCCTGATTTTCCAGGATATTTTCCAACAATATTAGCTGGTGTAATATCAAATAAAGTGGCTCCAAGTTCTGTGCAAATTGCATTGACTAACATCTTTTTGCCACTGCCACGTGGACCAGTTATTAACACTGATCTGATTAGAGGTGTAAATTCTCTAAGAGTATTGTTTCCCAAAGGAAGTATACAATATTCAATTATCAATTGCCTTATGTCTCCTATTACATTTACAGTTGAATAATTAGATTTAAAGAACTTATACTCTTAGTTAAGAAGTGTTTAAAAAGCTAAAATTTGATTGAGAAATATAATATGTAGCTACAGATTTATATGAAAAACTTAACCAAGTGCTGGTAGAGGATCCTTCTTTTTTTCTCTTAAATTATGATTTATAAAAGACTTTTCCCCTTGAAAACTAGTAAGTGGAATTTCGCTATGTAGTTTAACAATTCCTTGAATTAATAATTCTTCAAATAATGATTCTGTTGTTCTATCAGGTGTCAAATCCTTTTCTTTCCTCTTTTTATTCTTTTTTCCACTGCGGCGAATTTTTTTTTGTGTTTTTTTAGTACGTTTGCTTTTAAGCCCTTTGTCTCTATCTAATGCTAATTGTAGTGCTTCTATGTCATCTTTAAATATAATAAAATTGATTAATTTAATTATGATAAACAACATTACTTCATATTTTAATTGCATTGTAAAATTTACCTCTAAGTGCTTGGTCAACTGTAATTCGTACTTCATTTTCTACTTCCTTAGTTATTTCATTCTCTATCATGTCTAAATATGGTAACTGAGCAGCATTCGTTGTTTCATCTTTATTCTTCCATACTTCTTGATATTCTTGATTAGCATGTATCAGTTCCGACAAAAAATTCGAAGGAACTGACTTGAAACCTTGCTCAGTTTCTTCCTCTGATTGTTCAGCATCACTGTCCTTCTTTGATTTTGATTTTTTAGATTTCTTGGATTCCTTTGATGACACTGCTGTTGATTTACTTATAGTACTCTCAGTTCCCTAAATAAGAAATTATGTATTATTTCAAATCAATTACGTCAAAGTTATTTAGTTTCTCAAAATGCTCAAAGTTTAAATTAGTATTCAAATTTACCTGCCTACTAAATATAATTCTAGATCCTCCACTTTCAGCAGATGGTAAGTCGGGAATTTTTCCTGTCTGATGAAAATAAGTGTTTACCCAGTTTCGAACTTCGTTTCTTATATTTTCTTCTATTATAGCACTTTTCTCTTTACGAATTCTTTCTCTAGCTTCGATCACCAAATTTTCGTACAATTTTTGATATTTAACTTGTTTCTCGTATCTTTTTTCTCTAACTTTTTCAATTTGCCTGGCACTTTCCGTTATTTCTTGACTCGGTTGAAGCATACCTTTGAAAATAAATAAATCTATATATATATATATATATATATATTTACTTATCGCTTATATATAATTATATATACTATAAATATATATAAAAATATTATATATATATATTTTTATAATATATACATATATAATAAATATACTATATATATACTATATATATACTATATATATATACTTATCGCTTATATATAATTATATAAACTGCAAATATATATAATTATATTATTAATATATATTATTAATATATATAATTATATTATAATATATATTATTATTATATTATATATAATATTATAATATATATATTATTAATATATATAATTATATTATTAATGTATATTTATTAATATATTATTAATATATATTAATACAAATATATTAATAGTAATTAAATTACCAATTAATAACATTTCTTCAAGACGCCGTTTCCGAATTTTGCATCTAGTCACGTATCCTCTCCAAATCTTTTGAATTTTTATCACAGCTGCCTTTTTGTTTGATTCGTTTTTCACTTCTGCCTCTTCTTTAATCACGAATTTATCCTTTATTTGACGAATTTCTTTCATAAATTGAAATCTTAATCGGCCTTGTCTGGCGCGCTCATGAGCCTGATGTTTCCACAGATAATATTTAAACAATACAAATAAAATAGTGTTATTTCTAAATTAGATTTAAATCATTCACACCTGTATAAGTCTTATCGCTTCAGATTCAGTTATCTTTTTTGGTACAACAATTTCATCCAAAGCACCTATACTTTTTAGAGTATTTTCTATATATTTCCGCTTCTCGACAATTTCTTGTAAACATTCACGTCTAAAAAATCTTGGAACCCGAATCTCAGCTTCTTGCGGAGTAACATTTAATTTTATTAAAATATCATCGAAATAACTATACTCTGAAAGATCTATCTCGACTAATTCATGTTTCAGTTCTAAGATTCTACCAAGACACGATACCAATAATTGTTTTATTAATATGCGCTTTTGTGATTGAATTACTTGATCGTAACACAGTTCTAAGTTATTACAGATTAAAATATACCTTACGTATAATTCCGAAACTGTGTTATGTGCTTTTTTACGATCTTTTTGCGGCTTAGCGTTTTGTAAATTTGTGTCAATTTGAAGGATTTCCTCCAGATCAGTTTGCGCACTTTTCCAAAGCTCATTGTATGTCGCACTTGACATGATCAAAATATCAGATCTTTCCTTTTTTATGAAAAAAATAAAATTACTGAAAATTAAATCGAACGATAATGTGGGGAAACACTTTGCTTTGTGATTATTGATATCCTAGCAACCAATAATTGACCTAGTAGTATGCATAATTCTTTTAAAAAATCTTACTTAAAAGAGATTTTATACTTACATCCAGTTTTACCTTCTTACGAATGTTATATAAATTAGTATAACGCGTCCAATTATTTATACAATTATTTTATTTAAGTATCTAAACACAATCATATCAAATAAAAGTTGCATTTATTTTGAAATAATAAATAAAAAATTCTGTATCATGTATCATACATAAATATAAGACATATTTACATAATTTTGTTCAAATATTGATATAAGATAATTATATTAGACTTATAAGAAAGATATATTTGTATCAATACTTTATATTATTACTTTGATTCAAATAGTATGTTGGATGTAACATAAGAGGGAGTTCGATGCAACCGGCTATTCTCGTAACATGCTTCAGAGCATTCCGGTTGCCTGTTTCAAAACGTCATCTTAAGTGATCGCTTATTCACGAAAATAATTTCTGTAAATACGGTTCATCACCGATTAAAGGTGGTGATGAGAAGGAAGCATTTGCAATAATGGCGTCGGCATTGGAGCAATTTGTAAATAATGTGCGGACGCTCTCAAAACAAGGTACGACAGATGTTCGAACCTTCCTTACATTCTTGTAAACCTAACCTCCAAGAATAATCCTGAAAAATTATGAAAATGTTCTGCGTTACTCTGAAATGATGCTTTCCTCAAAGAAATAAGATTTGAATTCACAATGTTTTCTTACTGCAGTATTGACAAATTTCTCTATTTTAATTTTATTCAGATATAAAAATTTGGTTTTTATATTAAGCACATCTATGACCAAATCTTAGGTGTTAAATCTTAATTTTTCTCTGTCATAGGAACCGTATAAGCTTTCTTCTTAAAATTTTTAATATTAAACATATATTAGAAATATATGCGTTTGTTAAAGCAGTGTTCCGTTGTATAAATAAAATTATAATATTTTTCTGAAGTAATTATTAAATAATATTATTCAATTGTCTTCTGTTCTTTAGGTAATTTTAGAGAGCTGTCTGAGATAATAACTAAAAGTACAGATGTTCTCATAAAAAATGGACAGCATTTAGATAATGTTTTGGAAACTCTAAATCTACAAGAACATTCATTAGGTATTTTGGCAGTATTATGTGTGAAATTTTCACTGCCTAATCCTAATGGTGCAAACAATGTCGATGCTTATAAATCACTATTTAATCAAGTTCAGGAATTTATTATTGGTTGTAATGGAGAACAAGTTAGATTTGCTTCTGATATATGTAAGTTCTTATTTTTCTCTCTTTTTCTATTCAGAAACATTCAGAAATTTTTATCTTTTGTTTGCATTATTTACATTATAGATGCAGAATTATGCCACTTATTTACTCAAACATTAGTTGAACTACAAATACCATTGCGTGGTATTGAGCTATTATGCCGTGCAATACGTAAAATACAGTTATTTGATAGCCAGCTTACTTCAATACATGCTGATCTTTGTCAACTTTGTCTTTTGTCTAAGTGTTTCAAGCCAGCACTTGAATTTCTTGATATAGATATTACTGGCATCAGTCAAGAAGAAGGACAATTTGATTCAAAATACTTTTTACTTTATTATTATTATGGTGGTATGATATATACAGCATTAAAGAATTATGATAGAGCATTGTACTTTTTCGAAGTGTGTGTAACAACACCTGCCTTGGCAGTTAGTTACATTATGTTAGAGGCCTACAAGAAATATATTCTGGTCTCTTTAATTTTGCATGGGAAAGTTTTAAATTTACCTAGGTACACGAGTCAAGTAGTTAATAGGTACATGAAACCTCTGGGACAACAGTATCAAGAATTGGCTACAGCTTATCAAATGAATAGTTGCGAAGAGGTACAAAATATTATCACTAAATATCAACAACTGTTTACAAGAGATCACAACATGGGACTGGTGAAACAAGTGCTCAGCTATTTATATAAAAAGAATATACAAAGATTGACAAAAACTTTTTTGACTCTTAGTTTAAGTGATGTGGCTAGTAGAGTTCAATTATCTGGACCTGCTGATGCAGAAAAATATATATTAAATATGGTAAATGCATTTATTATTTATATCTAAAACAATGTACATACATATGTTACAGATATTTGTTAAAGATATTTTATGTTGATGATTGTAGATAGAGGATGGTGAAATTTTTGCAACAATCAATCAAAAAGATGGTATGGTGGTGTTTCACGATGATCCAGAGAAATACAATTCACCACAGATGTTGGCAAAATTAGAAAAGGAAATGGCAGCATGTATGGAACTGGACAAAAGAGTTCTTGAAATGGAAGAAGAAGTTGTTCTTACACCACAATATGTTCGAAAAGCTTGTGGACAAAATGATCAAGATGATCAGACACCTGGACCTGCTCTAACAAGTATAATAAATGTGCAAGGTCAATCTAAACATAGCACTTATTCCATGTAACATATACACGTCGTTGTGCGTTATCTTTATTAAAAAAGAGAAAAACCGAAGCAAATCTTGTTGAAAGCAGAGACTTGAACATTTAGAAGCCTGTTTTGGATGAAAATCGATATCCGAAATTTGGCTAAACATAATTTATTTTGTACAAAATAAACATTGCTATCTATCATTATGTGGAATTATAATTGCTATTATAAAAAGATAAAAGTAACAAAAAACATGAAAAATTAAAAAATTTCCTTTTTATAGCAAGTCACACATGTATCCTTTCTGGATCTTTCTAAAACTGAAGGCTGATAGATAAGTTATAAGTATAAAGCGTCTGTGAGGAGTTACCAATTTAAATATGCTTTATTTTCTAAGCCTTATATAACTAGTTTTTGTACAAAATATACTATGCGTATAGAATGAAATTTAAAATTATTTCCTTAGTAATTCAACATCTGAAGCAGGCTTTATATGCAATGCAACAAAAAAATTGTACATGTTGTAGTTAGAATATTGTGATACATAGCTGCAAAATTATCACATTTTTAACATAAATCACGTTTTATTCATATATGGGCATTTTCATGGAAATTCATAAAAATTCATCAATTCTGATAATGCAACAATGACATATGTACATACATTTCTCACAAAAAGAAAAGTGAAGAAACATAAGAAATGTACTTATCATTTATAAAAAAAAAAAAAAATGAAATCGTTCAATGCACAATTGTGCCAGGTAAGTACACTAAGCTCTTCAGCTCAGTAAAAAGCAATTGTCCATTTATATAGGGAATTTAATATACAGAATTAAAATGTATGATATTGCAATTATTTTATTTCAAATTTAACAAAAAAATATTTAAGATAAATGATTTAGAGATTATTATAGAAAATATTTCAGAATACTAGTTATATCTTATTATAAATATTGAAACATTGGAATGTATAATGAATGTTTTTTTTTGGAACTAATGTTTGTAACATCATCTTTCTGTTGAATGATAGCTACATATGCAGAACCAATTTATTTATTTTTTATAGTTCTAAGTGTTTTTTTTTTTATATGTAATAATGATTAAGATTTTACGATAATAATTTCTTTATTTCCGTAAAAATCATTTGAAATATTTCTTCTTTACTTTTAGAACCATCAATGAATGTTATCGTGTTACAAAAATCATTGTCTTTTATTAATTCGTCTTTATACTTTACATATTCTGGCCATGTTACTTTTTCGAAGTAGCCAGGAACGTCCGGTGGATCGTATATTCTTCCTTTCCTTCTTTCCCAACATTCTTCTTTCGTTAATGTTATGAAATATTTACGATCACATAAATTTGAAATAACCTCACATTTAAAAAGCAAAAACCCATCTAGTATTAATATATTCTTATTAACTGTTTCGGAAGAACTATTTTCATTTGGTGACGATTCAATTAATTGTAAAATATCTGAATGCATTTTGTCCATATCCATACTAGTTATCAACTCCCAGTTGAGATGATTAAGATCATTTATTTTTACATGTCGTGGATCGTCTTGTGGCAAGAAATAGTTATCTTGATGTATTACCATTGAATTTTCCAGCTCATTGTGAAGTCGACTACTTAAAGTAGTTTTTCCGCTGCATGTTGAACCCGAAATACCAATTATAAACCATTTCTTTGAAGACATTTTAAATTTCTTTTATTAGTAATTTTACTTATAATTTAGAATAGGTTAACTTGAGCTATAGATGGAAAATATAGATAATAATAGTCTAGTTATATAAGTTACATTATCTTTATTATTAATTTAAAATAATAAAATCAGTCAGTGTTTTTCAACACAATTTAGTTAGCAATATACAATATGGTTTTTTTATTTACATTTTCTTTTATGTAAATGTTATGATTCACGAGATTTATTTGACTTAATATTAGAAAAATACGGCTTAACATGATAAATTGTAAATAATACTAATCCACCAATGAAGCACAAGCCAGAAACTGCAGGAACTATTAATGCAATATTGTGAGAACCAAAAAATGATCGTATTCTGTTATCATCAATGAAAGGTAGACCAATGATCCATACAGTATAATAGAGAAATAAAAAGGAAATCACAATTAATGTCACTTTACCCTTTTTACGATCACTGTTAAACATTTTGTGTTCAACAATTTATAGTAAATTAAATATATAAATGTATAAAAAATGGTATTGCTTTACAAATGAAATACAAATAAATGTTTGTATTTCTACAATGATATAACAAGTGAAGTTTACTAATTCATATGCCTCAACATATAATTCAAGAAGTGTAAAATTATTATTACAAATTATTGATCTATGTACTCTTTCTCAAACTTCTTAAAGTCTTCTTCTGTAAATGCAGTAGTTTCTTCAGGTGCTTCTTTAGGTTTCTCTTTAGGGATATATTTCTTCTTCAAAGCTCTAGTTAATAACTACAGTAAAATTTTCTTTAATTAACAAAAACATATTTTGTGAATAATTTAAAAATTTATAAAAATATCGAATACCTTATTTGTTGTATCTGGATTGATATGATTATTACTAAATATTAAAAGTCTCTTTACATTTTCGTCCGTAGGATCTCTTTGCGCAGCTAACTTTTTTTGAGTTTCATAAACAGTTACTCTGCTTGATTGTCCAAGTATTGTGCCAAGATCTTTAAAAATTGTTTTATTAATTAATAAACAATCGTTTAAATCATTTTATTTTGGTGGTGATAAATACCTGTTTTATCGGTTTTAGATAATATTCTGTGTTTTGAAGGAATTAGATCCAGTGAACCTTTATATTTTATGTGTTTTCGTTTTTTTTTTTCTGTAAAATAAACATTTTTTTTGTGAAACATGAATATACTTTTGTAACCTATACAAATTAAAGTACAGAAATAGCAAACACCTTGTTTTACATGATTTTTATAACCCAGTATTTCGAGACCTTTTCGTACAAGCGAATTTGACATTTTTATAAAATATTAAATCAATTTTTTCTATGTAGTTTATATTGTCATATAAAAATATCAATTGTGAAGTATCATGATATATAACTATGTTCAATACAATAGAATCAAAAGAGAAGCATGCCATCTGTATAACATGTTTAATAAAATGTGTAAAATATATAATTTTTCATTTTTTGTTTTATATTATTTTTTAAAATTTTATAAATATTTTATAAATTTTTCTATTTTGTAAGATAGATATTTTTTTATCATTAAAAAATAAAAAAATAATGAATTAATTAAAAATATTTTATATGTGATTATTAATCATATTTTTTAAACAGATCATTAATCATTTTTAATTAAAAGATAACTAAAAAATTATTTATACTCGCTTATTCATCGATATAATTCATGGACTTTTTGTAAATAAACCATGGATTTGAAAAACCTAAGATCTCTTTCAAGTCAAAAATCATAACATACATATTTATATTGAATAAAATTTAAAAAATATTGATGGAGAAATTGACAATTATAAAATAAAAATTAATTTTATACAATTTAAAATAATATACAATGTTTATTGTAAATAGTAATAAATAAAAACAATAAGTATAATACCTTAAGTCTAACAATAAGTTTATTTGAACATGGTCCGAGTTAGTTGTTCGAATGTTAGCTGTAATCGATTACTAATTCTAAAGAAATTGATCTGATTTCTGAATTTGTAGGGGAACAATAAAATTTTACTTTTAAAACATCAAAATGCACGACGCTTATGAAGAAACGTCAATATTAAATATTTCTGTTCAAATAGAATCTATGGCTGCGTATGGTAGGAAACATAACCTTAAAGCTAAAAGTTTTTAATCTGAGATATAATTTTTTGTAAATGTATTTATCATTCTTCGCGTATAGAATTATTTTTATTATACCTTCATAGAATGTAGTTATTAATTAAGTAATTAAGTTATTTATTTTTAACATATTTACTTTTAATATTTCATATTTATATGTAAGTGTAAATGAATAATAGCAAAGTGTTTCAGATGACAATTTATTAATTGGAACAAGAGAGGGTCATCTTCTTATGTATAATGTACCTTCTGTATCAGATGACAATCACAAGTTAGAATTATTACGTCATAGTAAAAATTTTAATAAAAAGCGTATTACTCAGATAGATGTTGTATCAGAATATAATCTGCTTATAATTTTAACAGGTATGTATTTTTATCTTCAAACTTAAAATGAAGGAAATATCTAATTTATTGTGTCTTTTTATAGATAATATAGTATGTATACATGATTTAAACTCTCCAAACTTTCAACAACTTTATCAATTACAAAAGACTCGTGGTGCCACATTGTTTGCTTTAGATATAAAACAAAATGAAACTGTAAATGGTGAAAAAGAAACAGTTGTGCACTTATGTGTTGCTGTGAAACGTAAGCTACAATTATATAATTCAAAAGGAAAAAAATTTGAAGCATTTAATGGTATTGAATTGACTGTGCCTGATATTCCACGTGAATTATCTTGGTATATATTGTTTGTTACATGCAAAATAAATTATTTATTTTTATACAATAATAAAATATCTTAATTGTATTAAAGGTGTGGTGAAACATTAATTTTGGGTTTTCGTGGCCTGTCATATACAATTTTGGATTTAAATGGAAAAACTAAAGAACTATTTCCAACTGGGAAATCTCCTGAACCAAGTGTTACAAAATTGTCTGATAATTCCTTTGTATTAGGGAAAGACTCTCAATCATTTGTTATGGATACAAGAGGAGAACTGATTCAGCATAATCCAATAAAATGGACCGATACACCAAGTGCAATAGGTATAGAATATACATAATTGTATATTGAAATATGATGAAGACATTTACTTATTTTACATTTATTATTTATTGAATTATGTATGATAATATAAAAATTGAATTATTTCAGCTTGGGATGATCCTTATCTACTTGGAATTGTACATGATAGATTAGAAGTATATACTATAGAAGGTTGTCTGCATATTCAAACAATAAAAGACTTAAACAAAGCTAGGCTTATATATAGATGCAAACAAGGAAAAGTCTTTGTAGCATCAATTAGCCATGTTTGGTGTGTGAGAGCAGTTGATGTAACACATCAAATTAGAACATTATTAGAGCAAACTCAATTTCAGCTAGCAATAAAATTAACTGTACGTTAATAATACTTATTGTTCTATTGCAATACTTATTTGTTTCAATCCAGTGGAATTTTAAAATAAAATCTTTTATAATTTTAGAGCTTATCGGATATATCTGAGGAGGAAAAACAGAAGCAAATATATAAGATTCAAACATTATATGCTCATCATTTGTTTCGTAGTAAAAGATTTCAAGAAGCAATGGATCAGTTTTTAAAAATAGGAACAGATCCTTATGAAGTGATAATGTTGTTTCCTGATTTAGTTACACCATCTAGTAATAACCCTGAAGTCAATGATCCAACTTTGCCTAAACTCCAAGACCGAGATTTAGAAAAGGGCCTCCGCGCGTTAATCATTTTTCTTACTGAAGTTAGACACAAATTAATGCGTGACGCAAAACCTAAGGATAAAGAAAATAGCGAAGAAAAATCTCTAGTAGATGGGAAAAAGAATATGACAGCAGTAGCTACAGAGCAATTATTAAAAATTATAGATACAACTTTATTAAAATGTTACCTACAGGTAATTTAGAATTTATTAACAATAATAAATGGCTACAATTTAATTTTATGAAATATTTTTGTAGACTACTGATGCGTTGGTAGCACCATTACTTAGATTAAACCATTGTCATTTAGCAGAAGCTGAAAAGACTTTATTAATGCATCAAAAATATCCTGAACTTATTATATTATATCAGACCAAGGGACAACACAGAAAAGCATTGGAACTACTTGAAAAGCATGCAAAAGAAAATGATTCTAGTTTAAAGGGTACTGCAAGGACAATACAATACTTGCAACAACTTGGTAAAGATCATATGGATTTAATTTTAAAATTTTCTGGTTGGGTTTTGAATGAAGATCCAGAGCAAGGACTTCGAATCTTTATGGAAGACATGCAGGTAATACGTATTATATAATGTTTGGTGATTCTTTTATAAATTGTATTTGTAATTTTAGCAAGTTGAACAATTACCAAGACCAAAAGTATTGGATTATCTTCTTCGTTGTCACAAAGATTTAGTGATAACGTATTTGGAGCATGTAGTACATGTTTGGGAAGATACTAACCCTTTATTTCACAATGTTTTAATACATCAGTATAAAGAGAAGTGTTTAGCATGTATGAGTGAAAATGCTACACCAGCTGAAAAGCAAACAGCTCAACATATAAGGCAAAAACTGCAACAATTTTTGGAAAAATCTACGCATTATACTCCTGAAACGATATTAGTGCATTTCCCGTTTGACAATTTGTTCGAGGAACGTGCAATTATTCTTGGGAGACTTGGACGTCATCAGCAAGCTATTTCAATTTACATTAGTCTTCTTAATGATATACCGAAGGCAACTGAGTATTGTTACAATGTATATACTAGGTATCAAAGTACGTGTTAACGTAAACGTTAAAAAGATTTATTTACAAACACGTGTAATTAATTTTTTATTTCTAGATCAAGAAAATGCAGATAAACAGAAACAATCCAATGGATCTGATGAGGTTTATGTCATGCTTATTCAACAATTATTGAAACCCGACAACGAAGGAGTTTTAATGACAGGTAAAATTTTGCTTTCTTTTTAAAGTAACAATTAGTATTATATTATTAGTATTATATTATAGTATTATACTAACTATTAGTAAACACGATATAATACTTATTAAGAATTATGAGCATTATAAACATTATGTCATATTTATATTAGGATGTAGCTCTGAGATTCAAAGAACAGCACAACCTGATTTGGAGATGGCGCTTGAACTACTTGAGAAACACGCATCGAAAATAAATCCGTTAAAGGCATTAGAGGTTCTCCCCGATACAGTTCCTATAGGTAGAATAAAGCATTTTTTAGAAGTCAGTTTACAGGAAAAATTAAATGCTAGAAGAAGGATTCAAGTATTAAGAGGTTTACTTTACGCCGAACATTTGCAAGTACAAGAGCAACGTATGCATTATGAATCACAGAGTGTTCTTATGACGGAATTCAATATATGTCCAGTGTGTAAAAAGAGATTCGGCAATCAAAGGTCGGTATATAAATGTTATATCATTGAGTGTAAGTATTTTACGAATCAATTTCAATATAAGTTATTTTTTAGTGCATTTGCGAGGTACCCGAATGGTGATATTGTACATTATTCGTGTCAAGATCGTAAGGTATAAGCTATATATAATTTAAATGTAATTGTACTAATTATTAAGTGATGTAAAATGTACATTGTGATGTCCTTCTAGTGTGTATATATGTGTATACATTTTCCATTTACCTTATATTCGCTGTGATGTATTTTTAAACTTATTTCCTAATACCATTTTTAACTTTAAGAAGAAATGGAAAAACATTGATTTAATTATATTACTTATATACATGTTATTTTTAAAGTGTAATTACAAATAATGAAAAAAATTATTTTTCAATCTCTTTAAGTTTTAAAAAATATCAAATACAGATATTTCGATAATTAATTACTAATTAAGGAACGATGAATTGTAATGAATGTGATTATTTATACTGTACATGTACGTTTTACTGTTTTATTTGGGATATTTTTTTGTATTTAATTTTCTTTGAATATTCAAAATAAATTTTCTCGTGCAATTAAGTAGTTATCATACGAATTTTCGTAATAATGTATAATGGAGAGGATGGGGCGTGCCCAGTCTAGAATATGGGTAAACGGGACTAGTGATGTCATAAGCTATCTTGTATTCCTACGCCGACTGTTAGGTACGGTACCGAATCGGTACTACCGATACAAGTGCAGCTGTAAACGCGTCATTTAAATTTGTCCAATAAAAAATTGGTTACTTGTTATTCTCACGATAAAATTATATAATAGGTAACAATAAAAAAATTATTTATACATTTTTGATTTCTATCTTAATAGAAATTAACATATATATGTACATATATTTACGTGTTTTCTGTATATCAGTAACGCAAATTTTATAAAAATCTATTTTACAGTCTTTTTAACAATAAATTTTTCCAAAAAATTATTTGAAAAATATTCTATTCGTCATAAAAAATGCCTTTTATCTATATACACACATATAT